AGCGTCAGTGAGGAGGGAGTGGTCAGCCGTTGTTATTGTACTTAGATCAGAGGCATGGGAGCAATTCGGCTCCTGTTAATTTTACTTGGACGAAGTGTTATGGAAACCAGGGGTGTACCATTATCAACACGCTGTCACCAAATACAAGTTTAGTGTTCTGCCGAAACCCATTTATCTATCATTTATGGCCATTAATGTCATTAGATAGGGTGAGCCGATTAGAATACGAGATCGCCTCATATAAAAGGTAATTAAGCCTAGGTCTTTATGGTTCCTTGTACAGTGTTTTCTCTGATATAGCTGTCATATATTAGGATTCTGGCTTCATAGCTAGCGCCCTTTTGACAGGTCAAGACGAGGAAGCATGCTTTGTGCATCAGTTACCAGGGTGATGGAAGCTACCTCACACGAGGAAAATGTGGTGTCTACACCCTAGTTATACCTGGTGGACTAAGGCCTGCTGTACAAATAAGATAAGGAAACTCTTCAATGTATGTAGTCTAATACTGTAGTTTGATTGGCTGCATATATATAAATTCAATATAAACCCCCCCTAATGTGTAGAGGATCGATTTGTGAGATTATTGCAGAAATACAGTCCACTTAACATCATACCAATTGCTATCGAAGTATACAAATTAATGTAGATATAAATTCTATATAAATTCATATAAATTAAATAAATATAAATCTCACAGGTCGGTTCCCACAATAGGAGTGGAACGCACTGCGCCACATATAAGTCGCATGACATTGTTTTGTATGACCTCGAGGCTCTGTAGGTTAATAGGCGCCGCCGACGCATATGCTTGGCAACAATAGTCTAGTTGGCTGCGAATGTAGGTTGTATAGAAACGGAGCAAGATTTTATGGTGTGCTCCCCAGGTGGTGCCAGTGAGGGCTTTAAGTATGGCGAGTTGGGGTTGTGTCGTCTGTTTGAGATGTTGAATGTGTACCTTCCAGGTAAGTAAGGGGGAGTCTAAGGTTATGCCAAAGTATTTATGTTTTCGTACGTGTTGGATAGGAGTGTTGTGTACTGTGAGGGTGGGTAGATGAAGTAGTCTTTTTTTAATGAAGATCTGATAACAGGTTTTGGTAGTACTAACTTGAAGGCCCCATCGTTGTGTCCAATCAATGAGTGGTCAAGTGCTGGTTTGCATTGTTGAGACTGTATTAAGTAGAACAGTGTCTGAATAATACAATATTAAGTCGTCGGCGTACGCCGAGAGGTGAACAGGATGGGTGTTAGGCAAATCTGCTAAGAATGCAGTGAATAGGGTTGGGCTTAGTATGGAGCCTTGTGGGACACCCGTTTGTATTAGAATACCATCGGAAAACTCGCCTTGTATAAAGACTTTAGAGGTCCTGTTCGTACGATAGGACTGTAACCATTGAAGTAATCTTCCCCATACGCCTAAACGTGCAAGCTTTGCCAAGAGGCAAGTATGAAGAATGCTATCTAAAACTCCTTTGAGGTCTAGTTAGAGAACAAGACAAAATTTACTGCTTCTGAGAGAGGTGCGGATTTCATGTTCAAGGCAAAGTATTTGATCAAGCGTGGAGCATTGTGGTCGAAATCCAGCTTGGAGTGACGCTATAATATCATTATACTCAAGGTACCATTGGATGTGAGTATGTACTAGCCTTTCCATGACTTTACTAAGGCATGATTGTAGGGAGATAGGTCTGTATGACGCAGGTTGGGATGGGTCTTTCCCTGGTTTAAGGAAAGGAAGAATAATACTGGTTTGCGAGGGAAGGAATATGTCCGTGAGTGCAGCATAGGTTGCAAAGGTTTAGAAGAGTGCAATGTGCAGTTGATGGAAGATATTTGATGAGTTCATATGGAATTCTATCCTCTCCAGTTGCTTTGCCAATAGGTAAGTGGTTTAAGGCTAGTCGTAGCTCGCTTAAGGTGTACATGTTGTCGACGCCGAGCATGGGCAGCGATATGGCAGTCAATTTCTTGTCTGAGGGAGAGTTCTTGGGCATGAAGGAATGGTGTTGAGAGGGTAACTTTAAGGCATTCAGCAAGAACGTTTGCACGCTCTTGAGGCGTTTGACAAAGTGAACCGTTGATCATCAGGGGGAACGAAGGGAATGTTGGGCGACCTTTAATGCTGTTAAATGTAGCCCAGACTTTTGAGTGTGGCAAGGTGGGTTTGAGGCTATCACAGAATGTTGCCCACGATGCTCGCTTTGCTGAGAGTATGGTTTTTTTGGCCGCTGTTGTGACCTGCCGGAGATTGACTCAGTTCTGTAGAGAGGGTTGACGTCTTTGTTTTTGGATGGCTCGTCGGTGTAAAGCGAATGTTCGTCCTTCTCTTATCTCTGGAACTTCTCCTTGCTCTAATGTGAAGACTTCCTGGATTTTTTTACTGAGTTTCTTGCACACTTCTTTGTCGTTTGTAGTGAATCTGTCTGCCCCTATCCTCGGTTTCATTACCTGTTCTTTCACTGTTGTCTTTCTCCTGATGTGGCTTTGCAACAATTTGGGTTTGGTCATAGCCTTGCTTGCTATGTCGTTTTCATATTGCCCTTCTGCCTTTCTTCTCACCCTGACGTATTCATTCCTGACTCTCTGGTAACCTTCTCTGCTCTCAAGTGTCCTGTTATTTCTATAGTTTCTCCGTGCTCTTTTACTTTGTTGCTCAGCTAGCTTATTAAACCATGGGTTTCTCATCTGCAATTTCATTTTTTACCGTTTGGGCCGGGAGAAACTTTTCTGCTGCCTCCTTGCACGTCTGTGAGATGTATTCCATCGGGTCTTGGGCCGTCTTTCCCCTTAGCTCTGATTCTCATGTTATATCCGTTAGGAATTTTCTTATCTCCTCAAATTTCCCTTGCGGAATGCTAGCCTTTTGCTTTCAGTTCCCTTTCTCGAGTACTTTAGCCCTTCTTCGACCAGATACTCAAACGTCAGAACACTGTGATCGCTCATTCGTACTGGGGCCTCGAAGTCAATTTCCCTTATGTCGGAGTCATTCAGAGTGAAGACTAGGTCGAGTCTTGTTGGTTCATCATTTCCCCTCATTCTTGTGGGTTCCTGACATGCTGGCTTAAAAAAGTTTTTTGTTGCCACCTCCAGAAGTTTAGTTCTCCACGTTTCTTCTCCTCCGTGCAGTTCATTGTTCTCCCAGTCTATCCTTCTGTGAATGAAGTCCCCCATGATGAGCAGATAGGATCGATTTTTACAGGCAGCAGAGGCTGCCCTCTTAATTATGTTATTAATTGCCATGTTGTTTCTGTCATACTCTTGCCAGGGTCTTTTGTCATTTGGTGGGGGTTATATATCACTGCTACTACTACTAATACTCTTGGTCCTCCATTGTCATGGTGCCTGTTATGTAGTCTTTAAACCCTTCACAGCCTGGGAAAATCATCTCCTTGAAACTCCATTCCTTTCTCATGAGTAGGTCCATTTCGCCTCCTCCCCTACCCTCCCTCTCTTTCCTAATTACAGTGTAATCCTGGGGGAACACCGCATTCGTTATGATTCCTGAGAGTTTTGTTTCCATGAGTCCAATTACATCTGGGCTTACTTCTTGTGCTCTTTCCCTAAGTTCATTCCCCTTGCTTGTAAACCCATCTATGTTCGAGTACATCACCTTGAAGCTGACTCTTTTCTGTCCATCCTCAGTTTCTATTGATTCCACTGGAGTAGGTAAACATGGAGGGTCTGGGACTGGGAGGGGAGGAAAGGGGGCCCCTGGTTGTGAGGGGGGGCTGAGGGTGTGTCCCACTGGTCTTGTCAAACTGGTCCTTTGTCACACTGGTCTTGTGTCACACTGGTCCTGTGTGACACTGGTCCTGTGTCACACTGGTCCTGTGTCACACTGGTTCTTTGTCACACTGGTCTTTTGTAGCACTGGTCCTGATTCACTCTGGTCCTGTGTCACACTGGTCCTGTGTCACACTGGTCCTGTGTCAAACTGGTCCTGTCTCACACTGGTCTTGTGTCACACTGGTTATACCTCAACAGAGGTGATTGGGCAGTGGTGTTCTGCCTGGTTCTCAGGTATGCTGGTGCTGCTTATAATGACCTCGTGAGCTCCTCGGTGGTCAAGAGACCGTTCGTGCCTGTTTCACCTCACAGAAAAGATTTTGGTCAGTTCAACAGGTGGCGAGACAGGTGGTTTCCCTATTACCAGTGACCAATTATGTGGCCTGTCCTAGAGGACTCTTCCTGCTGTCACTGAAACAGGGTGTAGGAGCAACATGTCTTCATAAGGTATGTTCACATGTGTTACTTCTGGTCCCTTAAAGGTACAGTAACCCACTCTGTAATCTAAGTACAGCATGTTCTGCTATCATTCGCACTCGTTTTTTAGTTATACAAATTTATTTTGAATTAATTATTGTGTGGGCGTGGGATCACTAACTGCTATGCATTAATTAGCTGCCGGGAAAAGTTTGAAATTTCAGTTGGGCAGCAGATTGTTGCCTCATGAAATCTTTCCTGTTGTGGCTGTCTCATATCATAGTGGTAGAGATTGTGCCTCACGCTCGTGTAGTTAGTATTCTAGTCTCCTAGCGGTCAACAGAATGAGATGGTTATTTCCACGATAGTGTGGGTTGACATTATATATCATGTGGGCGTGGATCACTAATTGCTATGTACTTGGTAGCAAATGGTGAAGGTATAAAATTGCAGTTGGGCACCGGTTTGTTGTCTGAAATCTTTCATTTAGTGTTTATCTGATAGTACAGTTTTAGAACTTTTGCCTGACGCTAATTGGGTCGGTGGTTCGAATTTCCAAGTGGCCCAGCCAATAAAATATATATAAATCTATGATAATGAATTTGATAAATTTCCATATTCAACGAGTGTCACTATTATTTTAATGCATTCATGATTTTGAGAGTGAGCTTCATTGTGCCAGCTTGTATGTGATAGTGCATATCTGAAAGTTGAGATTGTATGTTTACGTATTCATAAATGTATACGCTACACATTGTTGTGTATGGGGCCCACTCTAACCACTTGCCATAATTGACAGGTATACCTTCGGACAAGCCGTCAAGGGCAACCTGTCACTAACTGTGGACAACAGCGAGAGCAATGACTGCAGAGCCAAAGTCACCGAGAATGTTACTGTGAGTATCAGCGAGACATTTTTATACGAAATGTTGTAATTAATAGGAAAGTCCTACTCCAATTATTATATTCCTGCAACACTGTCACTGTCACTATAGCGGTTACTGTACCTCTAATGCCACTACAGCTACTACTGTACCTGTACTCCTAAAACAGCAATTACTGTACCTCTAATGCCACTACAGCTGCTACTGTACCTGTACTCCTAAAACAGCAATTACTGTACCTCTAATGCCACTACAGCTGCTACTGTACCTGTACTCCTAAAACAGCAATTACTGTACCTCTAATGCCACTACAGCTACTACTGTACCTGTACTCCTAAAACAGCTATTACTGTACCTCTAATGCCACTACAGCTACTACTGAACCTGTACTCCTAAAACAGCAATTTCTGTACCTCTAATGCCACTACAGCTACTACTGAACCTGTACTCCTAAAGCAGCTATTACTGTACCTCTAATGCCACTACAACTACTACTGTACCTCTACTGCCACTACAACTCCTACTGTACCTCTACTGCCGCTACAACTAAAACTATTTCTCCTACTGCTACTACTGTTGCTACCACTCCTACTTTGCTGCTGCTACTCTTACCACTGCTACTACAACTCTGGCTACAGTAGCTGCTGCTACTTCCACAATTGCTACTATTCCTACTACAGTAGCTAGGGCTGCTACTACTGTTGCTACTATTCCTACTACAGCAGCTGCTGCTGCTACCACTGTTGCTATCACTTCTGCTATAGCAGCAGCTGCTGCTACTACAGCTACAACTACTACTTAGCTATTTCCACTTCTTTTACCAATACCAACTTCACCTTCACTATAGCAATGTCACTCACGTGTGGTTGTCATGGAGACGGCTTCCATGTGTGGTTGTCATGGTGACGCATCTCATGTGTGGTGTGTGCTCTTATGAGTACAAAAGTACTCTGTATTTGTTGACATCAAAAGAGAGTTCGATGAAACACAAGGGACTGGGATCCTACGTGTGCTTGCATGTATTGCTGTCACGGGGAGACTCATGAAATGGACTGAAGACTACCTCACAGGGACGAGAACCGAGGTCTGATTCAAGGCAGCAGTCTCTACAATAAATATGGAACTTGAGACCCTTAAAGGAGGAGTGTTAAGCCCACACTGTTCAACATCCTCATGAATGCCATTGCAAGTGTTGAATTTCCGGAAGGAACACAACAAGTGGGATATGCAGATGATGTCCTAATACAAGCTTTCACCTTTGAAAAAAAAATTTAACTGTTCGTTCAGCTCCTTGGAAGAAAGTGTGTGGAACTCGGTTTCACTCCCTCCATAAACAAAACAAAATTTTGCACTCACCTCAAGTGGGGAGAAAACGAAAGACTGCCATCAAATCGTGAAACATTTGAGTGGGTTGACCACTATCAGTATCTTGGGATCACTGTCGGTTTTAACAAGAGAAAGAAAGAGGAGTTCCATTAACCTATAGAAACATGTATAAGTCGACTCATGGCACTGAAAGCTATAGCCTGGACTGGGCATGGAACCTTTATTGCCGTGCTTAAAATGATGTACACAGCCTATGTAGGCTTCGTCATGCTGCACCTATCTTGGGCAGGCACCTTCGACTATGCTGCACCAGTCTTGGGCATTTACTCCCAAAGCTATATGAAAAGACTTGAAAGCATACAAAACGATGCCATGACAATCATTCTTGGAGTATCAAGAACTGTCAAAACATCTAATTTACGAGAGGAGCTGTCTCTTCCCAGCATTAAACACAGGGTTAAGGAACTGATTGTGACGCTTGCAAAATTAAGATAGCCAGACACCCACTACAATGATATTGCCAAGACAAAACTGAGTTCTCTGCTTCTAATAGAAAGAAACAGGAAAAACAAAAAATTACATCAGAGATCAGTCTACTACCTCCAAGAACTTCACCTGCTTGAAGTGAGCTCCTTGAAGCAAGCACGTGATCTCATTCCTAGAGGGATATAACCTCCCTGGGATGATATTCCAGCAGCTTCAATTGCAAAAATTATTTACAACTGAATTTGAAACAATTCCATGCAATTTGCCATGCAAATATATATTATTATTAATATTAAATATTAATACAATTTTATATTTATATTATATATCGGAGGGGGGAAATTGTACACAGGGTGTAGCCTTTTGTCTTTATTGCAGAGCGGCGGGCGGCACACTGTAGGCCGGGTACTTAATTAAGGCACCTGTGAGAGAGTGTCTCTCAAGATTCTCCCACAGCTGACTGGAATGGCTCATTGCTGTGCACAGTGCACCGATCTTGTGAACAAGGTCCTATTTCTGTTAACCCTGGATACTGACCTGGCATGTTGGGTATCTCCAGAATGCCCACTTAACCAGGAACACTTTCATAATATGGAGGCCGCCGTATGTCCAGGCAGGAAGTAGATACAGGGAGTTAAGCATACTTGCCACCAAAGGGTCAGTGAGTACATGGCTGGTGCCCGCGTGGGAGAGGGGAGACGCTAGCAACATCTGACCTCTGGGGTCAACCGGCGCGATGGACAATAACAGCTATGACGTGTTCGTGACGTGTTCATGACGTCACTCCTGCTACTGCTCATCGAACGAGCTAATATGATTGATTCCCGCTCATTTGCTGCAATGCCATTGGTCAAATTGTAATCCCCTTGTGTGTGCCACAAGACGCCCTGAGCTTCAGGCATTCTTGTGAGGGATCTCTAGCAAAGTGGACGTGTTCTGTTCAGTCTACCGGCCAATAGACTGAACAACCGTCTATGTCTCACCGTTAAGTTAACTCAGCGTCTGAAGATTATACGTCACACCCGCCCAGAATCACGAGTGGGAATATATATTATTCAGTAGCCTAAAGTGACAAATCTCCAGAGCGAAACAGACTGGTATCAGGTAACCCCTGGTGACAAAGATCGTAGTGAGTGACTTAGAGTGCCGCCGCCTAAGTAACCTGTGTGTGACTTTACCACAAGTGTACCTGCATGGTACCACAGCCGCCACTCGTCCCGATAGTGCACCTCAGTACCCAGTACCCTAGTACCTCTGTACCTCTGTGCCTCGAGCGCCCGCCGCCGCCCTCACACTACTACGTGACGTCACCACCTTGCTCATCGCCAGTGCCAGTGGGTGTGTGTGTGTGTGTGTGTGTGTGTGTGTGTGTGTGTGTGTGTGTGTGTGTTAAGCATACAGCCCGCCCTACTGCAAGTACCCTCCGTGTCTACGAGCGACACCAGCTGTCAGGCCACCTATGAGTGCTTGTATAAATGTGCCTGAGTGAGTGAGTAAGGAATGGTACCCTATCTGTAAGTACAAGATCTTGTCATAGTTTTATTGGGTCTGTTGATCTGAGGGATCAACCACAGTTCTCACCTTCTCATACCTGTCACAGGTTATAGGTGAATCGACGGTGTATGCGTGTTTATCTGTGTGGTATCACAGCATTTCACTAGTCTGTGAATGTGACCTTCACATACACCACACATTTAGTTATTGTGTGTGATTATTATTGTGCATGTTATTGCCTGTCCCATTGACAGTGTATTTGTTGATTTATTGCAATCCATCATTACCGAGTATCCGGTTGCAACTCTTGTGATCCCTTTGCATACCGGCAGTTAGGTTGCCGTGTTAATGATTGGCTGTCAACTGTGTTAAGTTAGGTGTTGTGGGGAAAAATTTCCAGGCAGCTATTCTCTCTTTTCAAATTGATTTAATAAAATAAAGTTATGTCTTATTTATTTTCTTAGTAAGTAAGTATTAATTAAGTGGACTGTATGTACTGGTAAACTGCCTGAAATCTTCTTACACACCATTGGGAGGGACAATTGGTAGCCTAAACCACTTTGTTATGGTTCCTTCTTAAACTACCAATTGTTTACCTTTAAAACTATTATTTCAGTTATTTCATTATAAGTAATTAATTATAACTACTGCTACTGCTATAATGTCTTAGCTGTGCCAGTAGAATGGGCCTAGTAAGGCATGTAGGTGTAGCCTCAAGATGGGTGTGGCCCTGCCTCTTTGTGCCACGTAATGGCGGCTGGTGGGAAGGACAAGGCTTGGCAAACAAGTAGTTAATTATGTGTATGAACCAACTGTCTGCACAGATTCTTGAAGCTCCTCTCACAATTTACCTGTATGGGATGCAAGGAATTAATCAAAGTTCCCTAAACATATCAATTACAGGTATGACATGAACTGTGGGGGCTGTAATGGGGTACACGTACGGTGTTTTTGGGGATGTCCTACGACATAACCATCTACATATTTATATTAATCAGTGCACTTGAATAATAAACAATACTTGGTAGACGGATACAGTTGATGTTGTGATGTTGTTAGGCTGTGTGGCTGGTGTTGACACGTAAATGGGGTGTCTAGCTGTTTACACCAGTTAAGACAGCGTGGTATGCTCATCCCATGTTTTGTTGTGGTGTATGGACGCCTTCCTCTCCGGGTGACGCTCTTATGCTCTGGTTCTCCACTCAAAGTAATTTTACATTAACAAGGGAACCTAGCTACTATTTGATGTAAATAATTATATTCATTCTTAGTGATTACTTTTTTATTAACTTTAGATACTAAACTAATCTATTAACAATGTTTCATAATGTAAATATACGATGACTTTGATGACGTCACGGAGTCGATGACGTCACGGAGTCTCCCATTTTCCATCCTGAAGGGAGTATAGACTAGGGGAGACTGTGTTATTTGTGTGTGTGGTTGTGTGTGTGTGTCGGTTTCCCGACATAATTCCCAGGGGCAGAACACGGGTCGAAGTCCCGGTAAGGACTGCGATCACTTTATTCTTCTCCCTCAGAATTATAGTGCTGCTTTAATTTGAGTTTACATTGTTGTGCAGCAGTCCGTTGGGGACGTATGTCCCGTACTGGCGTATCGGGTGCTGGAAGTCGTTGTACGTCTTCTTTCCTGGCCAGTTCTAAAGGTACTAATTTCTCTAAAGTTTTGAGAGTAGTGTTGCCTTT